AAAAAAAATTGCTCCTTTTGGGATCATGAAATGTGAGATGTGCATTTTAAAATCCCTGCCTCTAGCTAACTCTCTTCTATGAAGGACACCATCTGAGTCTTTCGCTTTCCAAACAATATTCTGAGTAAATTAAAGTGAACCGGCATCACGCGGAGATAGGTTCGCTCCCACTTGGAAAGTCAATATTAGCCAAGATCCTGGAAATCAGGGAAACAAGAGCCAAACTTTACACTCATGTAAGTGGCATTTAGGCTGCATCCATACTGCTGAAATAACCCAGTTTGACACCCCTTTAACTGCCATGGCTCAATGCTATGGAACTCAGGAATTGGTAGTTTGTTGTAGTTAGTGCCAGAGCTCTCTGACAGAGAAGGCTAAATGGCTCCCAAAACTATAGTTCCCAGACTTCCCTAGCATTGAGCCAAGGCAGTTAAAGGGGTGCCAAACTGGATTGTTTCTGCCGTGTGGATGCATCAATAAACCCGTTGGAGCTCTCAGATATTCAGGAGGGGGCTTTCTCTTTGTATCTCACTTTGGGGAGCCATTAGGAGGGTGCGGGGAGTACAGAATATACTGGGTGACACTGCAGAGAGAGGCATCATCCAATGCATTGATAGGAAGCAGTGCTGACATTTCAGGTCTGGTGGCATTGCTACCTGGGCAAAGTCTACAATTTCCTCCCTCTCCTTCCAAGCCACCAGCTCCGCCAGACCCAGAGAGGCTGCGGGGGCCAACAGGACTAGATGCTGAAGTTCTGGATCTCCGGTTTTGTTGGCAGGACAAGACATGGAGTCTCTTTCCTCTCCTAACCAGCAGCTCCTCCTCCTCATAGTCCAATGGCTTTTTAAAGACTTCCAAAGAAGGGTAGTTCACCACCCTCCAAGGCAATACATCCCACTCTCAAATAGCTCTTACAGTCAACTCAAGACGTTCTTCCTAATTTGTTTAGGTAGAATAACTTTTCATATAATTCAGATCCATTGGTTGGTGTGCTAGTCTCAGGTGCATCAGAAAACAAAATTCCTCCATAGAATCATAGAATCATAGAGGGGGGTTGCAGACTGTCAGAAATAGTGCAAATTCAGTCCACTTTTAGGGTTAGGGTTAGAGCTAGGGAATCATGGGAATTGTTTTTTTTCTGAGACATTGAGCCTTCTCTGTCAGAGAGCTCTAGTGCCACAATAAACTACAGTTCCCATGATTCCCTAACCCTAACCCTAACCCTAAAAGTGGACTGAATTTGCACTTTTTCTGGCAGTCTGCAACCCCCCAGAGTTAGAAGAGATCCCCAAGGGCCATCCAGTCCAACCCCAATCTGCCATGTAGGAACTCACAATCAAAGCATCCCCGACAGATGGCCATCCAGCCTCTGTTTAAAGACCTCCAAAGAAGGAGACTCCACCAAAATCTCCGAGGGAGAGGGTTCCACTGTCGAACCGCCCTTACTGTCAGGAAGTGCTTCCTAATGTTGAGGTGGAATCTGTTGCTCTGTGTCCTAGGGGCTGTACAGACAGGTAAGAAAAGGTGACATGAAGCTGCCTTTTCCCTAAGCTTCAGCAACCGCACTGCCTGCCCCAAGGATGCTCTAAATGGGGACAGAGCAATCACATTGAGGGGCAGTCTTTGCAGCTTTTCCGAGGCTGTATTGAAGCCCTGCCAATCGCACCACCAGCCCTGAGGATGCCACAAAGAGATGTGGAGCAACTGCACAGGCTGGCAAAGGTTGCTTTATTTATTTATTTATTTATTTGGTTCTCTCACGTATGTGCACATGCACAGGGACATATCCTGGCAAACCTGCGCACCTGCGCAGAACATGTCGTAGGCTGGTATACAGTCTGTCACTCTCTAGGCTAAGGGGCAGCTCTGTATCACCCCTGGAAGTGCCAGATTGGTGCCACAGCAACCACACACCGTGGCCCCAATCTGGCTTTTTGCCACTCCAAAAAGAGCTGGCAAATGCCATTCTTTTTTGGGGTGGCAAAAAGCCACCCTTAGACCTGCAGCGACGGCTCTTTTGTGCCCCTTTGGATGCAGTGTGTGTACACACTGCACCAATGGGACACCCTGATGCTGCACGTACGGCATGATGGTATCATCGGGACAGAGTTGGGGTGGCTGGCGTGTGGTCACCCCATCCCAACTCCACCCCCTTTTGGCTGGTCTGCATCGGCCCTCTGTGTACAAAGGTGACTGAAGTTCGGCATCCCTGCTCACCTGCGTGGGACCTGTCGTACACCCACAGATCATGCAAGGATTCACTCACCTCGGCTTCCCCCAAGGAGTGGGTGCAGCAGATAGGTGCCACTGCCTGATTGTGCCACCCTTGGGGTGGGGGAACAGGTTTGTCAACTGAAAAGACACTCCATCATCCTCCATAAAACATGTCCCACACAGATCAGGGTGGAGGGGAGAGGTACATGCAAGGGAGGTTTGTGTGGATGGACTGGATACATGCAGCTGGTGGTCATGCAAGGGACATGGTCAATAGGACACATGGACAAACGTTACTCCAGGAGCAGCACCCCCCATCATGCCAAGAAGTGGTACGCAGGTCTTATGCACACCTGCACAGAAGAAGTCACAAAAGCCTCTTTCATGCAAACTACTGTGTATTCTGACAGCAAGCATACATGGAAGGGAATGCATTTATTGTCATAATAGAGAACAGTTGCTAAGATGCATACGTAGGGTTACAATTAGGGTTAGGGTTAGGGTTCTAATTTTCAAGCACACCTGTGGCAGTGTATCCATACCTGGAAGCATAGAGCACTTTAAATTAAAGCCTGCATCATAGGGCGCATGCTCTGGATTGCCGACTCAATTTCCGCCGCTTGTTCAGCAGTGCGTTATACAGCCGTTATAAATCTCCGGCATCCTTTTTATGACCCACCAGTGTTGCTGCATACATACGCACATGTGAAGGTGAGCATCTTACCAGAAGAAGCAGAAAAAAGCTGCTCCTTTTTGGAGCAGCTTTTCTCAGCATGTGGCGCCTACAGGGTGCTTTCCTCCCGGCTTTTAGGTGTGCATTGTCTAAACTCCACGCCTTCAAGTCAGCATGAAAGCACCTCTTTTTGCCCATCTGTACAGCCCCCTAGTCTCTGGACCAGCAAAAAACAAGCTTGCTCCATCCTCAATGCTCCATCCTCAGTTTCACATGAACTGTTGTCTAGCCAGGTGTCTCCCATCCTATATCTAGGCATTTCATTTTTTCTGCCTAAGTGTAGTATCTTACATTTCTCCCTGTTGAAATTCAGTTTTGGCCTAGCCCTCTAATCTGTCAAGGTCCTTTTGAATTTTAATCCTGTCCTCTGGGGAATTAGCAACGCTTCCCAGTTTGGTGTCATCTGCAAATTTAATAAGCATGCACTCTGTTCCTTCATCCAAGTTGTTGATAAAGACATTGAATTGCAAACTGGGCCCAGGGCAGAACCCTACTGGACACCCCACTGGTCACTTCTCTCCAGGATGATGAAGAAGAGGAGCCATTGCTGAGCACCCTTTGGCTTCGGCCGATCAACCAATTGTAAATCCACTTAACAGTTGCATTGTCTAGCCCACATTTTACTAGCTTCTTTGGAAGAATATCATGAGGACCCTTGTCCAAAGATTTACTAAAATCAAGATAGGCTACACCCACAGCATTGTCTTCATCTATGAAACCTGTAACTCTTTCTAAAAAAGAAATCAGCATAGTCTGGCATGAAGTATCAGAGAAGTATCTGGCTATGTCCCAGTACTGAGATGCAAACTGATGGCATCATTTACTGAAATGTTCCGTGGTCCCTGGTGCACTTCAGATTAAATGTCCTCAGTCTGTGTCTGGCTATGTCCCCATATGGGGACATAGCCAGACACTGCTCCAATCCCCACCACACTCTCTACCAGCCATATACTGGCTGTGTGTGTATGTATGTATGTAAGAAGCATCTGGCTATGTTCCTGTACTGAGATGCAAATTGATCACATTATTTACTAAAAGCTCCTTATTTACTAAAAGATGTCCTCAATCTATGTCTGACTTTGGGGATATAGCCAGACACTGCTCCAGTCCCCACCCCACTCTCCCCAGCCAAACAATAGCTCTCTGTGTGCATGTGCATAAAGAATCAGAGAGACATCTGGTTATGTTCCTGTACTGAGATGCAAACTGATGACATTATCTACTGAATTATCTGTTGCATCTCAGACAAGATGTCCTGAGTCTGCTTCTGGGTATGGGGAAATACCCAGACACTGGTCGAATTCCCACCTCACTCTCCAGCAGCCATAGAATAGCCCTATCTCTCTCTGTGTGTGAAGAATCAGAAACAAGTCATGCCCAGCTCATGCTTCATCCCTTTTCCCAACTTCAAACGGCCAAGCTAATGTATTCCATTTTGGGGAAAAGGTGGCATATAAATCCAATAAATAAATAAATAAGGTATCTAACAAGATCACATACAAAGCAACACTTTCTATATTGCTGGACAATTGTTAACATACAGCCATTGCACCAACAAGGACTACAAAAACCATCCACCAAGTCATTGCAAGAGGCATCCCAGGCACTCATCCCAATTTCCTCAAAATAGGTTCACAGCTTTGCATAACACCATGAAAAGTTCAGACTGGAACCAGCCATCGCTGTGTCTAGATTTCTCCATCCAGGGCCATTTCGGGCCTTACCTGAGTAGAAAAGATGCCATGCCTGATGCCAGTGTTGTGCGTGCCAGTTCCGATCACTCCACCGGCTGTCACATCCGAAACGGCTCCTAGGCTGAACCGGAGAAAGCAGAACAATAAAGGGTTAGACGCGGAGACTGAGGGTTGCTATTATTCTCCAACACGGTGAAATTAATAAAAGTGATGTTTAGAGCAACAACAGAAAAACAGGCAATTAACAGTTACCTCCTTTCGGAGCCTGGATGTGTCCAAACGAATGCTGAAAGCATTCCGCAGTGCATCATGCACAATGAAAGTGGATTGAGATCTATGTATGTACTGATATATGTAAGGCCAGCGTGGCGTAGTGGCTTGAACATTGGACTAGGAGTCTGAAGTCCAGGGTTCGATTTCCAGCTCAGCCATGAAACCCACTGGGTGACCTTGGGCAAGTCACATGCTCTCAACCTCAGGGGAAGGCAATGCCAAGAAAACCCGATGATAGGGTTGCCACAGGCTGGAAACAACTTGAAGGCACACAACAAATGTATGACATACCTAGTGGTACCTCGGTCCCATATTCAAGGAGTTGTGAATCTGCTCCAAGTTTGAGTTCAATCTGAAAGGAGCTCTCCAAGATGCCAGACCTATTTTGGCGGCCGGGTTCAGCACCTTCAACAGCTCCTTTAAAGTTTCAACTAAAGCCCAGAATAGATTCACCACCTAACTGACACAAGAACCACCAGCTATGGCTGAGTAGCACCAATACCATCCAGAATCATAGAATCATAGAATCATAGAATCATAGAATCATAGAGTTGGAAGAGACCCCAAAGGTCATCGAGTCCAACACCCCTGCCATGCAGGAACTCCCAGTCAAAGCATCCCTGACAGATGGCCACCCAGCCTCTGTTTAAAGACCTCCAAAGAAGGAGACTCCACCAAAATCTCCGAGGGAGTGTGTTCCACTGTCGAACAGCTCTCACTGTCAGGAAGTTTTTCCTAATGTTGAGCTGGAATGTCTTTTCCTGGAGCTTGCATCCGTTGTTCCAGGTCCTCTTCTCTGGAGCAGCAGAAAACAAGCTTGTTCCCTCCTCAAT